GAGTATAAGGACTAATAAATGCATTTTCATTGTCCAGAATTAGCCTCGTTTTTTAGATTACTGCACATAGTCCCTTTTTAAGGGGAGATTAAAACATCAGATAAATCTCAGATTGCCTTAAACTATCCTCCTCTTGATTATCCATCCCTCCTCCTTACCCCAAACTTCTAGGACTTTTAAAAAATACTTTCTTAGCTGAGTGTGCTGTCATGTGCCTGTAGTCTCAGCTACTTGGGAGGCTGTGTCAGGAGGATCACTTGAGCCCAGGAATTCGAGGCTGCAGTGAGTGATGATTGTGCCACTGCACCCTAGCCTGGGCAACAGAATGAGACCCCATCTCATATAAAGTTGTCATATTTGCCTTGTAAAAATGTTGTTTTGCCTGCTGTATGGAGAACAGGAAGCAAGATTAAATATGGAGAGAGATAAGTTGTGATTGTCAGTACTTCCATTGAGAAATAAATTATGGAGGTTGTGTCTACAATGGTGAAAGTGGAGACAGAGAACAGTGGCCAGGCTAGAAAACTATTAAGGAGGTAAGATTGATAGGAATTAGTGAATGATGGAGTGCAGTGAATAAAGGGGAAGGTATTATCAAGGATAACTCTTGGGTTTTTGTGGGGAGCAACTGAGATAATAGCAATAGTAGTGTCATTTTCTTAGAAAAGGAGCAGACTGGGGTAGGTCAGAGATGACTAATTTGGTTTTGGATATGATGGGATTATGGTACCTTTGTAAAAATCTACATTTAGATGTCAGCTGGGTATTTGAGTGGGGCAGTAAAGAGCTCAGAGATCTGAGCTGGTGAAACAAAATTACAAGTGTAGGGATGGTACTGGAAGATGTGCATTTAGAAGAGTTCACTTTAATGCATGGAGTCCTAGACCTAGGACCAAATCCATAGGTTTGGTAGAGGAAGTTAAACCTACAAAGTAGACTGAGAAGGAGCAGCCAGAAGAATAGGGAAACCTTGAAGCCAAAGAAAGGCAATAGTTTAAGGAGCAGAGGGGGTCGTCAGGCATAAATGTTAAGATGAGGGCCAAACTATGTTGGATTTAGAGATGTGGGGGATCATTAATGACCCTGGTAAGAACTGTTCCACTGGTTTGATAGAAGCAGACGTCAGATTGGATTTGGTGGGAGAAAGGAGTGTGAGAGGTAAGGAAATAGAGACAGGGAGTTGAGATAAATCTTATAATAAAATTGGCTGTGAAAGGAGAGAGTGATACCTGGAGAGGGAGATTTGAGGTTGAGGTGGTAGGCAGAAGGATTATTTTAAAAATGAATGGTCCATTTGAGTGTAAGAGGTTGATGAGAGCCAAGGAATAATCAATAATATAAGGTTCTGGGGAAAAGAGAGGGGCATGAGCTCTAATACTCATATGGGTAGGTGGGGAGTTTCCCTTTAGGTTGGAAGGAAGAACAGCATGGGGAAAATGCTATTCTAATAGGAAGAGTGTTCTATATTTAATACTTCACTGTAAATTTACTGTCACCCTTAATCCCAAGGGTTGAGAGCCTTTTATCCCATTTACATGATGCAATTCCTATTTGACAATTTTATCATTTTCTACTGCCAGCTACTTGACTACCCCTACCAGAAAAATCCACTTTTCCCCCAAAAACAATATACGTAGTAAATAATCAGCTTGCTTGGAAAGATAAATCTTTATGTATGACATCTTTTCCCTGTGTTTAGAACACTTCATTCTTATTCCACTGCAGTGAGTTTTGTCAGAGCTCGTATTTCCACTTCCTGTGACTTTTTCTTTTCCCCGTGTATTTAATTAGTTATAACAAAAAATTACACTTTAAGGAGAAAGCTAGTAGAATTCATTGAGCAGATTTGACCTCAAGAGTGGTCTGATGTCATGGCCAGAAAAAAACACAACTCCTTTTTCTTTAGAAGACTTTTCATGTCAGAGTGGTATATGTTATAAAGTTCAAGAGGTACAAAACTGTATACAGTGTCTTCTATTCCTTTTCCCTTGTTTACCCTCTTTCCTTCCCAAGACAGCTGGTATTATCATTTTCTTAAGTATCCTTCCAGAGATACTGTGTATCTACAAACTTGTATCAGTATAATTTTGTTTTTTTATTTATACAAATGGTATAATGTACCTTTTTTGTTCATTTAAAATTTTTTTATGAGAATTGCTCCATATCACTAAAGAGCTTTCTCATTTTTTTATGGTCACATTGTATGGACATGTCATGATGAGCTAACTGGTGTCATATTTATGGTCGATGCTAGTCTTGTGATTGATTTGACCATATTTAAATGGATAATACTGGTTACTAATTTAGGCAGCAGAAATTAAATCTCAGTTAATACTTAAATTTAAGGAACTTGAAAGATAGTCATTTGATTGATGTGTCATATTTAAAGTCATTGATACCATCATGTTTTCTTATAAGGAAAAACAATCTATATTTATTTGTGGTACTCATACAACTTATTTCCTGAAGAAACAAGAATTTTATGGTCATTTTTAACAAATTTACTTTTTAGCCTCATTCTGTATTATGTACTTCAAAATGGCCCAGTGCCACCTTCTTTCAAAAATTAATTTGAGACTTTTGATGCTTATCCTTTGTGGCTGCCATTAATTTCCTTTGAGTATATTTTTCAGATACTTCAACTTTAAGAAGAGTCTTTATTCCAGAATATATAACCTTATTCTCTACAGAAACAACTCTAATTTTCATTCAGTTAGAAAATCTTGGGTTTATTCCTTGTACCTGGGGGTGTTTTATATCTGTGAATATTTTATTTCACGTTTGTATTGACACTATGCTTCATTTATGACAATCTGTTGGTTTAACTTTTACTCCCTGTGTTAGCTCTCAGAGGTACTGTTTTGGGTAATGGTGTTAGGAAAAATATTTATGCTTATTTTCATTTAACTCCAAAATTAATGATACAGATATGCTTATGAAGTAGGCTACACAAGGGATTGTTTTAAATTAATAAATGTTCCAGTAACCATAAATGTTCTGGTTTTCATGAATATGTTAAGGAAACTTTATCACAATGCCTGTTTTATCAGCCACCGAGAACAGGGCTATGAAAAACAAAAACAGATGTTTAGAATATTCCTGTTTGTAATTAAGCAAAAAGTAGACTTGGCATGTTAGATCAATACAAGGATTTTTCAGGCATTTTCTGGTTTCTGTCTGTATATTGAACCATGATGGAAATGCCATATTGCACCTGAGTAGCACATCATCTGGATTAATGTTTTTGTCTGTTACCCACGGGTCATCGTGATAGTTGCCTTCTGTAATATCACATGTACAGGGCAAATTTTTGCTTGCCTTGCACATTCTTAGCATCCCCTTAAAAATGACCAGTTAATGAAGTTTACACTGCACAGTAAGTCCTCACTTAACGTTGTTGATAGGTTCTTGGAAACTGCAACCGTAAGTAAAATGAAGTATAGCAGGTCCTGGAATAACGTCCTTGACAAGAAAAACAAATTGGTTTTGTTAAAAGTCATTTCGTTTTAAGTCGCAGTTTCCAAGAACCTGTGGATGTTGTTTAAGTGAGGTCTTACTATATAGGTCACAACCTCTTGTGGTTAAAGATTGTGCCCTACACCTCTGTGATTAATTGGAGTTGTATCACTCACAGTGGTGGTGGTAGGCGTATTAAGTTCTAAATTTAGCATACAAGTGTAAAATGTGTGTAGGGTGTTTTCTCTTAAATGCCTTAAGTCATTCATAAAATAGAATATACTAGGTTTTCTGCGTTCAGAGTAGTTGAACTGTGTTCAGTAGTCATTGTTTATGAAACAAAACATCTGTTTCAACACTAGACTCACATTCAGCATGATGAGAGATATGTGGGAACTAGGAAGGACTGAGGGAGAAGCAAATTCTGTCACTATATCTTTTTTTTTTTTTTTTTTTTTTTTGGCCCTTCATCTTAATGCTCCTCTAGAGCAACTCTAGTGAGGGGAATGCAGACAGGTTTGATGCATATAATTACTTTGGTTGCTCATTTGCCAATTGCATATAGTTGAAGGTTTTTTTCCTTCTTTTTGTTTTCTTTTTTTTTTTTTAGAGATGAGATTTCGCTCTGTCACTGAGGCTAGAGTGTAGTTGCATGATCATAGCTCACTGCAGCCTTGAACGCTGGGCTCAAGCAATCCTCCTGAGTAGCTGGGACTACAGGTGCATGCCACCATGCCTGGCTAATTTTTAAAAAAAATTTTTTTTTAAAGAGTGGGTGGTCTCTTGTGGCTGGGCGCAGTGGCTCACGCCTGTAATCCTAGCACTCTGGGAGGCTGAGGCAGGAGGATTGCTTGAGCTCAGGAGTTCGAGACCAGCCTGAGCAAGAGCGAGACCCCGTCTCTATCTAAAAAAAAAAGAGTGGGTGGTCTCGCCATGTTGTCCAGGCTGATCTCAAACTCCTGGCCTCAAGTGACCCTTCCAATTCACTGGGGTTATAGGCATGAGCCACTGCTCTTGGCACAGTTTTTTTTCCCCCAACGTAAGTGTACATTTGATGTTTCTCCACTGTAAACCACGCCCACCTGGCCTCCAGAAAGGAGAATTTGAGTGTAAAAGAAATTGAGAATTTGAGTGTAAAAGTAATCATTACAGTTAACTCATTGCTTTCTAGACTAGTTTTTTTGAAATATTCTTTTTCATTTATATTAAAGTCAGAACATACATATTAACTCTATATATTTTGAAGATCCCTTTCTTAAACACTTTGAATAAAATTGTAAACTTGAAAATCCTTGTTTGGAATTTCTTGGCCTTGCAAGTTCGGTAATAGAGAATTAATATTGTGCCATTTTCAGTAGCTGAGTTTGCTAGGATTTTGATGGTATTAAGTCCTTGGAATTTGTTGATCAAGCAAACAGATAATAAATATATTTTAAAGGCCGGTGTAATGGTAACTATTGCTACCCATTTAGAAAGGTAGGCATGTTGTGTTGATTAAATAATCTGCCATTTCTTTTTATTGATTTTTGTATGTTTTCATACAGGTTGCTTTCCTGTTGCTTCTTTGATATCATTTCCTAGACCCTGCTCCATGATTTAATTCAAAATTCTGAAATGAAGATGGAGGAGGCAGTGGGAAAAGTCGAAGAACTCATTGAGTCCGAAGTCCCACCAAAAACATCTGAACAAGAGACAGCCAAGGAGGAAGATGGCTCTGTAGAACTGGAATCTCAAGTTCAGAAAGATGGTGTAGCAGATTCTACAGTTCTTTCTTCAATGCCCTGCTTGTTGATGGAACTGAGAAGGGACTCTTCTGAGTCTCAGTTAGCATCCACAGAGAGTGACAAGCCGACAACTGGCCGAGTTTATGAGAGTGACTCCTCTAATCACTGCATGCTTTCCCCTTCCTCTAGTGGTCACCTGGCTGATTCAGATACGTTGTCTTCTGCAGAAGAGAACGAACCCTCTCAGGCAGAAACCGCTGTAGAAGGAGACCCTTCAGGAGTGTCTGGTGCCACAGTTGGGCGTAAGTCTAGGCGTTCCCGGTCTGAAAGTGAAACGTCCACTATGGCTGCCAAGAAAAACCGGCAATCCAGTGATAAACAGAACGGCCGAGTTGCCAAGGTTAAAGGTCATCGGAGCCAAAAGCACAAGGAGAGGATCAGACTACTGAGGCAGAAACGGGAGGCTGCTGCAAGGAAGAAATACAACCTGCTGCAGGACAGTAGTACCAGTGATAGTGACCTGACTTGTGACTCAAGCACGAGCTCATCAGATGATGATGAAGAGGTTTCAGGGAGCAGCAAGACAATCACTGCAGAGATACCAGGTAGAGGATGTTTTTTAAACTGACTGTAAAGCACTTGATGACATTTCTCAGCTATAAGGCTCAGTTAGATGAGTGACACTTGAAAAAATCCAGGAGGCCTGCAGCTCTGTGTAAATTTGAAGACTGCAGTCTATTAACAAGACATGGCCAATTTAAAAAACCTGTTCTGAGGTTTCCAGTGCACTTTAGCACATCAGCAAAAAAAAAAAAAAAAAAAAAAAAAAAAATGGTTAATGATAGGGACAAGATTATTTTTAACTAATGGAATTTCTCACAAGTCTCTTTCTCTGTAACACAAGACCTGAACTCCCCTCATTGCCTTTTTAGCACTGCTTAGATTTAATACTCACTGTTCAGCATAATTACTAAGTACGTTTTCCTCAGGAATAGGCACCTTGCTCTATTATGTAGCCACTGCACTTGAGCTTATAGTGTCTGAAATAACACATTCTATCTTTCGTTAAAGTTTTCTAACAACTGTTCCTTCTAAAACAGTAGTTTTATGTGTTTTTCCCCAGATGCAGTGCATGATAAGCTAGTTATCCTTGTTGCGCATCTTTCTATCCTCAGTTGTCACTCACATTGAGAAGAATATATTTTGCATAACTCCCCCTTAAACCTCCAAGCTTTAAAAAGTTTGTTAGGAATCTGCTTGTTTCAGCTATCATTGGTATAAGAATCTGTAATTTATTATTATACATGTTTGACAAGTCCGATTTCCCCGTATTATCAAATCTGGTACTGTATACTACAAAGGCAGTCTCGAGATTTCATAGTGGAAGAAAGATGATATCTGAATGGTTCTTAAGTGGCGAATTCTCATTATTAAAGAGACTTTTATAATCAGGAACATTTTGTAAAGTACATGGCATTTAATATGTCACAACAGCATTGTTTATTGCTACATTAAAGAGGGAGAAGTTTTGGTTTTCTCAAGTTTTATGAGTGCCTATGTTATTTCTCTCTAGTTTTCTGAAAGTTTTCTGATTCTACATGTGAAGACAGCATATTGCTGATATACAAAGAATATTTCAAGAAAAATCATATTGGTTAATTAAACCTATAGCTATCCAAACTTATATAAACTCAATAACTAGAATGATTGGTTTTAAAGCACTTTATAGGTGTTCAACTTAAAATAATAAAAGTCTTATCCATATAACATTAAATATGAGTTATAAAGTGTTTAGAATTGCTTTTTCTTTTTTTAATATCTCTATTGAGTTCCTTTGCTGTAGTTCCTTGTATTTAAACTACTGAAAGGGGATTTAACCAAAGCTCATCAGTTAAATGCATGAGAGAAACAGACTTTGAGGTTCTAAGACTGAGGTTCTTCTTTTTTTTTTTTTTTTTCCTTTTTTTACTGCCGTAAAGACTGAGGTTCTTAGAACCAGACTAAGGCAGGTTTAATGTATATTTCAATTTTACTTTTTGTTTTTTTTCTGAGACAGAGTCTCACTCTGTTGCCCATGCTAGAGTGCAGTGGTGTCATCATAGCTCACTGCAACCTCAAACTCTTGGGCTCAAGCAATCTTCCTGCCTCAGCCTCTGGAGTAGCTGGGACTACAGGCATGTGCCACCATACCCAGCTAATTTTTCTGTTTTTTTGTAGAGATGAGGGTCTTGCTATGTGGCTCAGGCTGGTCTTGAACTCCTGGGCTCAAGCAATCCTCCCGTCTTGGCCTCCCAAAGTGCCAGGGATTACAGGCATGAGCCACCATGCCTGGCCCAATTTTACATTTAAAAGTATTTTTAACAAAGTCTTACTAGCACCTGTAAAATTGTTTATGCATTCTTATATCCTGTTCTATTAATCAAGATCATGATGGATCTCTTGACATAGTACTTAATTCCACTTACCAGATTTTTTTTGTTTTTATGTAACCACCCCAATACTTTGCCGTTTTATGGAAAGGAAGAAGGCAGGTGAACAAAATTATCTTTGAAGTCAGAATCCCATTGTAGAGGTGGCATGAGAAATGTCTTCAAGGGCATTTTCCCTGTTGGCTTATGTAGGTTAGATGTGCTTTGTTCATATTTTCCTGACCTCTTTGCTAATTGACTATCTTGACCAATGTTTAAAACTTAAAACACCAGTGGTCTCTTTTTTGTCTATTCTGAATTATATACTAACCAAACACCAAAGTAATTTGAATTTATAATTTAGTTTCTATTGTTCACACCATTTAGTCAATTTGTAGCTTTTGAAAACATGCAGAATTTTCTAAGGTAATCCTGGAGAATCAAATGGTAGGTTAAGGTGCAGGGGCGCTATGTGATTGCCTATGCTGTGTACTGCACAGTTTTGGGAGGTACCACTCACTTAAGGCAGCTATGCATAGTTTTTCCTGAAATTATGCAAAGCAACAAAGATGGAACAACCTAGAGTTTAAGTATTTGGAATTTCAGTTCAGCTATCCATATTACTATCTCTGAAAAATTGTGACATTGTGTATTTTTAATGTAACAGTTATGTATCCTTCAGTTTCCTGAATCACATTAGGACTTCGGGGAAGAGAGGAGACACACTCAACCTTATAGCAAGAGCAGTTGTTGAAAAGTTGTATAAATTGTAAAGGTAGGATAAATTATGAACTGACGTGAGTGCAACGACGTGAACATTCAGGTGAACTTAAATTGGATGGGCCTAACAGAATCTCTTGGATGATGAAATTTGAATCCAGCTTTTTACACAGAATGGAAACCAAGTGGAAAAGTAGAAATTGAAATTATTGCTATACTCTTTCATCAAGGTACAACTCATTTAGTAATTCAGAAGATGCTTTATTTACAAGCTTTTGTTTGGCAGCAGCTTAAAGGTTGAAGGAATGATCCTAAATGTTTTCTTATGCCAAATAATTTAACAGTTAGTGCATTTTTTGTTAAAGAGTGCAAATAATGATGCAGACTAGTATAGTTCATGATCATGTTTAATAATCGAGTTTGATATCTGGGCAACAGATGTTTATGAAGTTTTTTTAAGTTAGCCATTAACCGACAGGCAGCTTAGTATTGGCATGAGATCGTTCTCTCCTTGAAGTTTTTGGAAATACATTGATGTTTTAAGAATTTGTTTGGAGTTATCATACCGAAATAATTCTGGCAGTACTTTCATTGGGGGACATAGAGATGAGTAAAGATAGACTATTTTATAGTAAATTGATAGTATTTCATAATGAATTAATGTAAAAATACTATGTGGTAGTTATCTTGAATATTCAAAGCTTTATCAAGTGTCTGATTTATCTTTATAGATTATCTTTTTGTGCTTTGGTCATTCTTTGCAGTTTTATGATTAGAGCATTATTTTTTATTGGGGGAGCAGTTTCTCTATAAAATCGCTTTTGAGACTAGCCCTGTAAAATCTGCCATTTTGGGGGGGTTTGGTTTGATTTAATATTAATAATGAACATTAGACTTAATTCAATTTAAGAAATTCTCTAAACTAACATGCGGGCATCAGTATACATGGGTAGTGGGAAAAAATTATTTTTCATAAATATTTAGCATAGAATGAACCTCTATACAGCATTGCTTTAGCTTGTCTTGGCTATAATGACCTGCTTTTGTGTGATTTAATAGTCCACCGTGTAAATACCTATTCAGACTTAGGTTCCAAAAATAATACCCACCAGGGTAGGTAAGAGTCAGTTGTCTTGGCTGGTTTGCCTTTAGAAAATGTAATTGGTCTCTTTTGGAGAATGCCAGGGAGGCTAAGATCACCTGAATTCTCAATCTGTGTGGCCAGGCCAGACCAGCTCAGCCCCATTTCAAGCCAGGATCTCAGCACCCATTACTCACCATACATATTTATGCACTGAACTGCGTCATGATAAGCTATCATCCTATCTCACAGTTTTTTTTCTTTGGTAGAGATTATTATACTTGATCAATTAACTCTTGCTTGGAAACTAAAAAAAAAAAAAAAATTTTTTTTTAAGTGTTAAATTCTTTGTAGACATTTTTGAAAGAAAAATGTGAAGTAGAAGATTAAAATCACCCATAATTCTGCTTTTGTTAACATTTCAGTATGTTGCCTTCCATAACATATAACAAAATTTTTCATACTAGGTATTGCTTTTATCTTCCTTTCTCGTTTAACGTTGCATTTTGAACATTTAACCAAAACACTGTTCTCTCTAGAATGTATGGTTTTTGAACAATTTTGCTAATTATAAAAATAACTTCTCTAATGTTGGCACTTTGGGCTGTTTTTAGTTTTTGCTATTATGAGTTAAGGGTATGAGCACTTAAGCCTCTTGACTACATATACTGCCATACTGTTTTTTGAAAATAAGTTTATTCCATACAGGAGTTTGAGTGTTCATGCATTATATTCTTGCTGTTGAGTATTTTTGAAAATCTTGCTGATTTGATGAAAGAATTGTATCTTACTGTTAATTTGCATTTCTTTGATCACTAGTGAATTTAAAATCGTATTTGGCCATTGTATTCTTTTGGTAAATAGTCTAGTCATGTACTTTGCACATTTTCCCCCTGACACGTGTTTTTCCATATTAATTTGTGAGGCTTCTTAACCTACTGGGCATTTAATTGCTTGGAAAATTTTTTTCCCCAGTCTGTATGTTTTCTAAAGGAAAATTTTAATATTAGTTTAGGCAGTGGGTTCTCATGGTAGAAGACCCCAAGCCCACATGGGGAATCCCATGAAGTGTAATTGACATTTTTCCTAGGTTGAATATGAAATGATTTAGTGGCTAAAAGCCTCATGTCTCTCTTTTTAAACTTTTGTAATCTGGTTGCATTTTGGTAGCTTTTTAGGAGACTTGCGAAATATTAATACATTGATAACAAAACACCAAAAGAGTCAGGTGGTAACTGTCTCTTTTCAGCTTAGTAAATGCAAATCAAGCAGGTAAATAGTGAGCAAGTATTTGAGCACCTCTGCTCCATTAAATCAGAATCTTTGTGGTCTGACTCCTGGCTTCAGCTTAAAAAATGATGACATTGTAAAGTGATTAGCTTTAAAAGGTGAAGAC